GGTTTAGGGTTTAGGGTTGATCGCAGGTGTAGGCTACGACTTTGGGGAGGATGTGAATATAAGATACTCGGATACTCAGGCATGGTGCTTGCTACACTACGTACGAAGCACTATGTCTGTTTGCACAATACTTCCCTTTACCGTACTAGACTGTGCCATACCATACGATATCATAGCATACCATATCATGTCTTATCATATAATACCATATCATATTATCTCATATCGTTCCATACCATACCGTATCATACCATAACATACCATACCATACCATTCCATACTGTACGTTACTCTGCTAGGCTATGTCAAACCCTAAACCCTAACCCCTAAAGCCTAAACCCCCTAAACCCTAAATCCTAAACCCTGAAAACTCCCCAAACCATAAACCCTAAACCCTAAACTCTCTAAACCCGAACCCCCTACTAAACCCAACACCCCTAAACCCTAAATCCCTAAACCCTAAATCCCAAAACCCCTAAACCCTAAGTCCCTAAACGGGGTTGTGGTCGAGGTTTCAGGCCTCGCAGGGGTGGCCTGCGACTCCATAGATTGCAACCCAAAGGGTTCTCAAAAGGGCTTAAGTTTAGGGTTTAGGGGTTTAGGGTTTAGGATTAGGGTTTAGGTACTAAGTTACTAGAAGTTTTCCAGGGTTCTTGAATTAAGGGCTTAGTATAGGGGCTATCGTAACTAGACTCGGGTTTTTGGGCGTAGTTTTTTATAGATGCTGTGTTGTATAAATGTCCAGGAACGGTACTGTCGTTCGGGCATTTATATTGGTGTCATGGTTGTCTTTGGTCGCCGGTTTTTGGCTAGTTACCCACATCTAGCCTCGGACTTCGGATGGTCTGGTTGTTGAAGGCCTATTGTTCTTTAGAGCTGCCTGAATAATCAGTAGCAGTATCCACTTAAAGGCCTTATCATTAAAGCCCCTATGTTGCGAATCGGATTGGCGGGGTTATCCTCTGAGTGCGAGAGTCGTCACTAGAGATTTGATGATTGCTGTCTTGCGGGAGGACAACTACCAGATGAAGCTCTCCAATGATGACTACAAGGGTACAGAAGCTCGCTTGTGTTGTTCTGTCTAGTGCTACTTGTAGCTGTCATGAGCCCACAAACACACGCACCGTTTTTATGAGAACACAAGAATAATAGGAATCACTAGCCAACCCATGCTAGCTATTGGCAGCTGTTCTCTCGAGGTTCACTTGGTCTTGTTGTGAGGGCACAGGATCTTGATAGCTTCGACCCAGAGCGGATTTTTTCAGTAGTAATAGCGTCTGTAGTAGTCGTCGCCTTGTTGTGCGGGTGGCGGACTTTTCGTAACATCGACCTCGGGCGTGTTTTTGTTTCAGTAGTTGTGCTGGCAATTAAAAATAGTGTCGGTAGTCGTTGTCGTAACAGTACCCATAGACTCCAAAGTAGTTCCTTTTTTGTGGTTCATATTTAGGA